AAAAATGTTTTCTATTATTAGTTTATTTTATAAATATAATTTCACTTATACTAATAAAAAATTAATATATAAATGAAATTTAGACTAGATTATTTATATATTTTACATATTTTAAGTATATTTGTCTATTTAAATTATTTTTTTATAAAACCAAAATTTTTCTCTTTATTTTTTTTTTTTGGTTTGCTGTCTCATTCACCTATCCTTAGATGGGACCGATCAAGCTATCCGGTCCACTTTTAATTGATAAAGTCTTGGTCAATCATAGTACAAAATATGGCACATGTTGTTGGATATTAAAGGTGATATGCGTATGTAAAAAAAAAAAAATGAAAGAACTCTCTCGCTAAGATCTTGAAATCGAATCCAAAGAAAGTTGGTAATCTTTGTCATAATTCCCCATCTAGATTATACTCATTTTTGTTTCTGAACTCTATTTCACTTTAACTATGTTGATTTTTGGTTGACTAGAATGATGGATGCGATTGATTTTGAGGCGATGCTGAATGGGGCAGAGGCACCTGTAACTGCGGAGTGTTGCATCTACAGAGTGCCCTTTCCTATTCGCAAACACAAAGAAGATGCTTACACTCCAAATGTTGTTTCTATTGGCCCTTTTCACCACAATCTCCATCCTCACCTCCTTAACATGGAAAGACACAAACTCAGTTATTGTAAGGCCTTTCTTCAGCGAACCAACACAACTTGGGATTGTTGGATCTGCTACATAAAAGAAGAGGTGGAGCCCCATTTTCATCGTTTTTATTCAGACACCCTTGAATTCAGTAAAGAGGAACTGGTGAGGATCATATTTGTGGATTCCAGTTTTATACTTGAGCTCTTTTGTAGATACCATGCTCAAGAATGGTCAAGGGAGGACGTGTGTCTTTCAACACCTTGGTTGAAGTGTTATATAAGAGTAGATTTGTTGTTACTTGAGAACCAGCTTCCTTTTTCTATTCTTCAGGCTCTGTTTAATAAGTTCTTCACCACCAGGTCTAATTATAATATCCCTTAACTTTGTTAACAATCTGTTAACAAGTTGTTACGGTATTACTTAATGTTTTTCCTTGTCTTTGTTTGATTTCAAAGGCTGTTGGTATGAAACTTCTCCGCAAGAGGGACAACCCTGAGCAAAAGGTAACTTTTACTTGTGGCTCTTTATACATGCATGGATGGATATTTGGGTTCCTAACATAACCCTTTTTATTTATGTTTATAATGTCTACATAAGAAAGGTTAAGTGTGATGTGCTGACTATATAATATAGTTGTGCATTCCATCTGATTAGCCTGCGTAAATCATGAACATGGACATAGGTCTGTCCTTGTTGAAAACTATTTAATATTTTGGAAGGGTAGGCATCAATGATTTCCATTCAAATGAAAAGCTGATAAGTTTAAAATATTTAGTACCTGTTTTGACTATTTTGTGCTGATTCCTTTTTTTGATTGTTGTCAAATGCTTTTCGTGATAATTCTCCTATGCTTTCTTTTCCATATCTATCAACAGCCGTTATTTATAAATTGATTATGATTATTTTGCAGTATACAGTAGCCTTTATGGGCTATGGTCCTGAAGATAAGAATACTGTTCTAGAACTGACATATAACTATGGCATCACTAATTATGACAAAGGAAATGGTTATGCTCAGGTATATTCCATTCTTTTCTATTTTCAAGAGGAATTTTATGATTTTTGCATGGCCTCCATGACTGCTGCATGTCATTGTAAGAATGCAACTCATTTTTGTGTTTCAACAGATTGCCATAGGCACAAATGATGTCTATAAGACTGCAGAGGCAATCAAATTATGTGGAGGGAAGATTATCCGTGAACCTGGGCCCTTGCCAGGTATCAACACCAAGATTGTGGCTTGCTTGGACCCTGATGGTTGGAAATTAGTAAGACCTTTCAATCTGTGTGTTTGTATGTGTTTTATTATGTGCTTTAAGACTTTAGCATTGTCACTAGTGAAATTGGATTGCATCCACTAATAAAGTTATAAGCATTTGGTTAATGAATTGATTGGTGGAATGTGTAATGCATAATGAAATAGCATAATTGTGAGACGAACGGCATGCGGATAAATTGGTGATTTATGTACAACAAAAAATTTCATTTGAGCTTTAAATGTTCTGATATTGTTACCATACTTCTTATCCATACTCGTCGCCTTAAAGTTCTCCAATAATTTACATTAGAAGACATTTTATGTAGCATTATGCGCTAATGGGGAAAACTTCCTATTATGTTAAAGTTAACATGCCAAACCTCTATTTTTTTTATTACTTGACTGACTTGTTTATGACTTCATGCAGGCATTTGTTGATAATGTTGATTTTCTGAAGGAATTGGAGTGACAAAATCATGGTTCTAGATCCCATACATCTCCACTGAAATCATGGAAGTCTCAACAATTTTGTCAGTGAAATCTTAAAGTGGTACTGTCAACTCTACTCCTTTATAAAGTAACCACTCCAATCACTATGAGGGAAAAGGAAAGAAAAATAAAGGCATATATACAGCAATCCCAATGTCAATCCTATTATTTTTTTATAATGTTACTTTGACACGGCAATTCAACATATACTGGATCCCCTCAAGCCAGAACTGTTTGTCTCCTTTACTTCCACATTCAAATTCTATTGTCCTGTCTGTTGTTTTTATTCCAAAATATGCCTTCTTTTCATTGATGTCTTCCTTCTCCCTTCCTGGCCAAGCTGGGATATCATTGCAAACTCCGGTGACTATATCTGCCATTTAGGCCATACCTTAACATTGTTAACAGAGAGTGGCAAGAATAAAATAAACAGGTGCTGTGAATGAAACTTTGCTTACATTTCTTCTTCTTTGTGAATGTTCCTGCCATATGCTTGCTTTTCATTTTGACTACAACCTGTTGTCATTTTGTATTGATTAGATAGTCCAAATAAACTATTTAGTGGAGATAGTGACAAAACCAATTTTGACTCTCTCTGATCTATGAAGTGATTTCAGAGAGTTAATAGTTGATACTCTGTCAATGTATATAAAAGTGGTTTTAAATCACTAAAATTATTGAAAAACTAAACTTTACGATTTATAAAAGGGATACCAACAATGTGGTAATATGGGGAGGATCAGATAAATCACCCTTGCCCCATGAGCTGAGAGGCTATTTGGGCAGCCATCTTTACAAAATATATTTCATTAAATCATATTAAGAAACTTACAAATAACATGCAACTCAAGTATTTTAAAAAAAATATTGACTGATTGACAACTTTAATTTTATGAATACTAATACAGTTAACATTTGCTTCAACTTGAAACAAATGTATAATTGATATGATGAGATTATATTTATTGTAAGATGGACATACTTAGTTTCTATTTGTTTCTTTTAATTATAATTTTAAAGCTGCTAAGGCATTCTTTTCTAGATAATTATAATGTATCCAATATTTTCCTTTTCCAAAATTAGTAAAATTTTCTGATCAGCTATGCTCTCGCATCTAGCTTAGAAATTATTGGAGTCCATGCCTATAATTTGTTAATGGATATATAGCACCTACCTGCAAATTTGAATTTATATTGAAAGACACTTGCTTCCAGTGAAGAGCTCCTGTTATTAACAATTAAAATAGCACGGTTACTGACTTTAGGAATGTAAATTGCTTTAAAAATATCCTTTTCAATTTCAATGAAGCCGTTATCGCAAAGATGTTGGCAAACATACCTTTTCTTGTACGTTTGAGAAGTTCTCCTCCTCTGAAGACATAGTCCAGTGCTGTCAAGATGTTTACTTCTTTGCTTTCATCACACTTTTCCTCAACTAGAGGAATTGCTGTTGCTCCAGGCCCCTTTTGCAACCTTGCCTTTAGAGTAGCAGCTCCTCTCAAGGCTGCCAACCAAGCATTCAGTTCATCATATTTTGTGTTAATATTATCTATGTGAAATGAACTCACAGATTGCAGGTTTTAGACCCACTTCTCTTACACTTATGTTGCTCATTAAGTATATTTATTGTGTTTTACATTTGAGCTTAGGTTAAATGAAGATTGAGCAATCCACCTGAAAATTAAAACTGCTTTGGTGTATGCCTCTTACACGGATCCTACTTATATCACTACCAGGTGAAGCTGTTTAAAAACATAATTCAGTTTGTTCCGAGATTGAGAAATAATCAATAAATTCTGATACCTGTGGCTGCTCCAGCTGTTAAAGTCATTATATCTCCATTCGTTTTTGCATTAATGGCAGAGTTGACTACTGTTAAGATATGGTCATGTTCAGCTCCCATATCTTCTGCAATCTCAATGCAGTGAGAGGCTACTAAAGCTGCTGCAGATGCAATTGCAGAAGAAGGCATGGGAGGGTTCTTTTGGTTGGAATAAGGCATTTCAGGTGATGCTGTTGAAGCTGCAACTGCTGCAATAGCAGCAGCAACACCAGCCACAGATACTGCAGCGTGCAAATGAGCATTATGAGTCCTAATTTCCTGCTTTTTCCTCTCCTTTTGATCTTTCAACCACCTACCCATTGTCCTCCCTCTTATCAAGCTCCTGTAAAGCTAGTAAGCAATAATTTGCACCAATAATAAAATAAGTGAAACAAATACTAAGTGACAGATTGAGTTGGTATTTGAGTATAATGATGAAGATAATCACGAGGTTGATTGCAGGATACCCCATTTCTGAGCAAGTTTTGACTGGAAAGGAATTCCGGATTGAGTGCTTGATGGAGTAAAAGTAAATCCTGTACATGACACATTACCATGTTATTATTCTATACACACTAAAGATTCATTCGCTGTACAAAACAAGTTTTGGTAGTTGTGGCCCTTTTGAGTGTTTGTAATTCATGGTTTGCAGCTATTAGCAAGAGGAAACTAAATCAACTTCACTTGATGATTGACTTGACTGAAATTCCCGTGGGTTAGTAGATGATTTTAATGTGAAAAGTGAAGTTCATTTAGCCCATAACAAAAAGCAGTCAGTCATGATAAACTTCAAATACTTAATTGAAACCGAAAAATGGATCAAATTGTTCTTGTGCATTATGATCATATTTATCACCATACAAGTTAAAATGTAGTAAAGTACCTTCTTTTCGTTACTATCTTTTGGCGATATTGGAGGGTAACACCCATTAGATAACTGCACAAAAATCTTGCATCAGAAGTTCCGAACCAATATTAACTTATAAAAGCAACAGACTCACAGCAATATTAGATGCTTCTTAATATAGAAGAATCCCAGGACCAAAAACCCAAAAAAAGGGGTTCCAGGTTATGGAAAATTTCTTTCCACTGAAACCCCCTTTTTGGAGGGCTTAGAACATCTCTTTTTTCCTTTTCTTTCCCCCTCAGCCGTGTGTGTGTGTATGTGGCATAGAAATAGAATCTCTTTTAAGAGAGTTGACATAGCTTTTGCATGATTTTCAGTTTACATGCTGCACTGCCAAGTGCTAACTAAGAAGAAAGTAGCTAAAAGAAATAAAGGCCTAGTTTAAATAACTCTTTTAAATTAAACACAATCAAAGCCAATGTTCTTACAGAATCTTTTGAAGCAGTGGAACTCCTTGTATCGAATTGGTTGCCTGAAGGGCATGAAAGAGGCATCTCTATATCAGTAGGGATGGTAATGTTGGTGCTGTGCAGTGCTTTGGAGAGTTCCATGGCTGAAAGACTCCATGATCTAGCAAGGAACTCCATAGATTCAGTTGGAGTATCAGGAGGGCCACAAGATGATGCAGGCCAATTTGCAGGAGCATTCTCATCTATGTACTCCAGCTGATGAACTGAGCATTTAAAGTTAGAGGTGCTCGAACTCACTGAAATTGAAAAGGAGTTACGTGCTTTCATCAGAATGAAGCTTAATCATAAGAATTAAAAGAAGCATGAAGTATTTTTGGTCATATTCTGTCAAGCCGGTATAGTGTATATATTCATACGATAACTTTTAGTGCCTGAAGAAGAAAATTCAGTAGTTGTCTTGATATGAAAAGAAGTTTCTTCATTATAACAAACCAACGAATATTACCACTCACTTGTAAAGATTAACGAGGTTTCAATCACTCAGAACTCAGGAGACAGGGGAGGTGAAAATTCTCATGGCATAAGTGAGAATTGAAGAAACAAAGACAGGATGCTGACAGGACTGATGAGCAACAGTGAGATATTTAACAAGAAAATGTGACGTTGTTTCTAAGTGTTTTTTATTAAGGAAAATGAAAACAATGTAAAAGATTCTTAGTGCTGAACAAAAGGACCCAATTCAAAGGCCACTCATTCTTGTCTCCAACTTAAACTGTTGCTTTTGATTTCCATCTCTTAGTGGTTCATGCATAAAGAGTTAAGGACCTGTTTTTATGGCAGCGGAGTTCATCATTACCCGGATTCTCCTTTGTCACCACTATCACTTTCTAAAGTAGAGTTTGGGGACCCATATGTACGTTTTTTCTTTATTTTGATAACTTGATCAACGTCAGTTTAGCATTGCAAATTGGATCCAGGTACAAGTTTTATTGCATACAGGTCTTTGCTATTTTTGTTAGGGTAATTTTTGGCCTATATTTTATCAAGAGGAAAGTTATATTATATTTTTTTATTTTTATTTGTTATTTACACATACAATTCTACGATAATAATAAGATATTGTTCATTTTAAATTTATAACTTCATTATTTTATTTTTGATTATTACACAAAAGGTCTCTAATCAATAGAGCATATATGTATTTTATAAATTATTATTCTCCTCTTATTATAAAACCTTGTTTGAATCCAATAATCCTCCTTTAAATAAATGATTTAACTTCTCATTCAACAAAATTTATCTTATATTGCATTGTATTTTTCTCATTATTTGTATGTATGAATTATGAAGGTTATTGATTATTAACGAATTCAACTAACGATTCTAATATTACTGTTAGAGTTATTAGATTTAGTTTGTTTGAGTGAGATACTTTTATCAAGAGGAGAATTATATTTTTACTATTTTTATCGAGTTATTTCATAGATAATTTTACATTAGTAAGATATTATTCATTTTAGATTTTCACTCTCATATTTTAATAACGAGAGTTTATTTGTATCCAAACAGCTTTCACTATTTCCCTTGCCATGGAGACAATGTCATTCTTTTGGTGTTTCAGCGTGGCTCTTTTGTCTTGTTAATTAAAGCAAACGACAAAGGGTGCTTTTCTTTCCTTCTTTAATAAATCTTTTCTTTAATTTTGTTGCTGATTACTAACAGTGTGTTTGTATTACGTGAAAATCCACGTTAAACGTGAATTTTTTGTTAATGAGAGAGACACTTCTCGGTAGCCTCCCTCAGGTCAGCCTGCAATGCCGCGTTCTCCTCCTCTAAGATTAGAACCTAACCCTGCGAAGTCTTCACCTCGGCTTTGCAGACCTTGGAAACCTCTTACAAGTTGCCAACCTGGGCAGCATATGCCTCATTGGCCCTCAGAGCAACTTCCAAAGTCTTATGAGTCTTGGAAAGATCTCTCCTCGAAGCCTGAAGCTCAGCTTCATTTTTCTTTGCAGCCTCTAGCGTGGCCTTCAAAGCCTGGTTCTCCTCCTCCAAGGGCAGAACTCGGCTCCACGCGCTCTCCAGCTCGCCCTGAAGCCTCGACCACTTACTTTTCCAGTGGTCCACAATGGCGATCGACCTTTGCATAAAGACTTCCGCAGAGTCTAGTCCATCACTAGACCAACTTTCTCTATCATGGCTTTGTCAGCAATAAAGGTCGAGTCCTCCTTAAAAAATGACTCCGTGGTCACCTTAGAACTCCACAGCGACGTTATGTCCGGAGACACACTCACATGGTCTAACCTGGCCATGGGACGGGTGACATTGAAGCGTTGAACAATACACTTTGCCTCGGGACGCCACCATGAGAAGGCATAGTAGTAGCAGCAAGAGTCAGCGTTGGCGCCTCAGAACTCGTCCCCTTTCCGTGAGCCTCGGTAGAGGTAGGCGTCGGACCCACCTGCACAGCAGCAGGAGAAGTTAGTGTTGGCACCCCAGAGCTCGGTGACTTCCCACGAGCTTCGACGGGGGTAGGCGTCGAACCCACCTGCGCGAAACACAAAATTTTTTCTAAGTTACAAAGCAGGAACATCACACAACATAGATGAAAAATCATAAGGTAAAGGCACAAACCTATGTCTCAAGAGCAACCTCTGCCGCGGGCTCCCTCGACCCCACAGGTGGAGGGCTCCCGGTGAGATCGATCGGGTTGGCATTGGCAGCCCTCGAGGTCACCTCTTTGAGATCGAGAGGGGCCGAGGTCTCACCGACCCTCTTCTCTCCCTTTTTCCTCTTTCGGCGAGTCTCCAGGGGAGCAACCTCCTCCTCGCCGGGCTTGGGAACCTCGAGCTCCTCCGTGTTGTAACGAGCCTTTAGCTCGCGCCATTTGCTTTTTCCCATTAGACCTGCAAACACAAAGAGTCCAACACATAAGAAGGTGAACAAAGACAGAGAATCTAACAATAAGAATGACGAGGTACTCACTCTCCAAACCCCTCTCCTAATTTGCCAAGTTAGCAAGCGAGAGGACGAGCTTGCAGTCGAAGGGGCGAGGAAGCGCGGCCAAGTCGGCGATGGTAGTAGTATTGGAATCCAACAGTTGAAGGTTGCTTGACCCATTAAATTTGATCGGATTCTGCTACTAGAAGAGGGGAAACCTCGCCAGACCTCCAAAGTGGAAGACTTCATCGACCATCGGGTCGGTCTCAGCAGGCTGAACTTGGAAGAACTCCTTCTTGAAGCTCTTATACGACTAGGAATAAAGCTGGAACAACCCCCCAACCTTACTCCCACTTAGAGACACCCAACCCGAGGGAGGTTCGCCCAATTTGAGTTGGTAAAAATGAAGAAAAATAAGCAACGACACCCCTATCCCCAAGGCTGAGCACAAAACTTGAAAAACTCTCAAAAAACCCCAACTATTGGGGTGCAGTTGGTAGGGGGCCAGATTGACAAAATTCAAAAAGTCACACCCAAACTGCATAAAGGGTAAATACACACCCAAATCTCTGAAAAAACATTGATACATATAGAAGAAGGGGGTATTCGGAGTACCCGCCATATAGACACGCTCATCGGGTTGGCAGGGCTCAACCCGGATGAGTTAGAGATGGACGACTTACACATTCTAAGCAATTTCCACATCGCATTTACGTCAAGGAACGACCTGAACACGCTCTTAAACTCCCTAACATCCCCCCTGACCTACTCGTAACCTGGGACAGAAATGGCGGAGTGAGAATCCTTAGGGTTATTCCTACCCCTCTTCTTTTCAGCAACGACCGTCTCGCCGGCTGCCGCCTTGCCGCGTGCCTTGCCTTTACATGAAGGAAACTAGAAAAGGGGGGAAAATGAAGACGGAGGCAATGAGGGGTACCTGCTACAAGCAACCCTTGAAGAGAAAAAACAACGACCACTACTAGAAAAATTAATATTTGTGACGAATTTTGTGACGAAAAAAATAGCATCGCTAATAGTGACGCATTTTGTGAGGGAATTTTAAGTTTTGTGACGGACAAGAATTTATTGACTTTTGTGACGGATTTTGTGACGGAATATATTCCGTCTCTAAAAATCCGTCACAAATTTCGTCACTGAATCAAAAAAAAAATATTTGTGACGGATTTTGTGACGGAAAAATTTTCGTCTCTAAAAATCC